CGTTTACTGTTTAATTTTTTGACTCTAACATCACATGCGTATTAAAGTGTTTCTACTACCAGCAATAAAAAACTTGCAATAAAAAATTTACTAAAGCATTAAAGGTCTACATAAATTATGACATTTTCATATCGCGAATGACTCTGTGGTTAAATTGGAAGAAATGACCAATGAATTGGAATAGTGACCAGAGAAATTGCAAGAAATTTATATGATGTATGTAAGATTTTTTAATTGATATATTAATGTTAAAAATTTTTAAACTAAGTTTTTAAAAAATATACTTATTAAAAAAATTATAAGCCTTATAGTATAGAAGCTGTTGCCTCCATACAATCATCGAAATAAATATTTAAAATTTGATAAAATTTCAAAATTGAATTTCAGATTTGGTCAATGTTTTAATGATAGTTCTGAACGTTTTAATGTGTCGTACTGATAAAAAAAAAATTGTTGATAAATTATTAGCCGTCATGTACAAAATATTTTAATTATTTTTACATTTTTATTTTATGTTAGAGAAATTTCTATTAAATGCTCTATAATATTGACATTATAGTTAATTTAAAATTTTTCAATAATTCATTATGAGAATTTTACAGGTGAACGCGCTTTAAATATTAATTAGGTAATATTATTAAATAAACGTAATTAATTATTTCTATTAAATAATGTAACACAAATAATTATTGTGAATTATATTGATTGGTTGATGTGACCAGAGTGTCTCGAAATATAAACGGCATTTTAATTAGTACAAGAAGCAGCATTCACATATTTTGATATATTTTTAATTTAAAATCAGTTTACTGGTGTATGTTTAATATTGACGTTGGTGTATTCCAGAGGTATTACGCTCCTTTAACAAGTTTGTTAACATTAATTTATATACTTATTATAATTTTAGAATAAAATTTGTGTGTAAAATTGGCAGTTTTTGTCCAAGCTAAATTGAATTTCACAACCGTATTATAGGAGTATGAAGCTCAAGACAGCATTTCGTACTGTAAAACAAAGAGCAAACTTTGACGATTTATCGCTTTCTGTATGGCATATCTTAAAAAATTTTATAATAATACGCGTTCCGAATTGTATAAAACACGATTTCGAAACACAAAAAAAAAACAAATCTTGCATTCAAAAAGGGCTGGATTCATACTTTAGAGCGCAAAATATTACTAGCATGGGTTAATTATAATTTAAATTGACATCGTAATCGATGCATACTTAACAATCATAATAACACTTCGCATTAAAAATGATTATTATTTATAACATGAATATCTAATGTCAAAAAATCAAGGTTTGTATTCCAAAATGTCTGGAATGAAAAAACAACTTTGTTCTTGTTTGACACTGTTGTTCATCACTGTTTGTTACACCGTGTTTGAAAAATTGCAGCATGTATATTTTTACATGTTGCCGTTTTATACTTCCATTCGATTGAAATGAGAATTGAAAATGGTAACATTTTTACCTTTATGTGGGCCTTATAACTTTAAATAAAATTTTTGAATTACTACAAACTTAGGCATTGTATGAAAAAATTTTAAAGAACTGAAAAAAAAAATAGTTACTATTAAAAATTTTCGCAAGAATCAAAAATCCAGCCATAAAATGTTGCACTTAATTGAGATTAAAAATTATTTCCAATGTTCAACAATTTTCGAATTAAAGAGTTCAATTTTTTATTTTCAATAAGTTTTTTTTAAGGTTTTCGGTTTTTTTAACAATTTTTATTATTCACTAAAAGTGTTTTTTGTTTTACTTTCTTTATTTTTTTTGTATTTTTTTTTGTTATTTATTTTTCATTTTAATAAAAAAATCTTTGGCAATAAAAATGTTTTTTTTTTTTTGTTTTCAATTATTTTTTTTTTATTTTTTTTACTTTCCCTTTGAAATGGTTTTTTTTTTAAATCGATATGTATCGTAACTATCATAAATTTAACATCAGTACAGAGATATAAGAGTTTAAATTTATTAATTTTTAATATTAAAGTTATATACAAGTATTCAGGTATTTTTTTTTAATTATAATAATATAATACCTATAGATATACATACACACATATGTGAACGGTTTTTTATGTGGCGGGCAAAATTTTTTTTCAATAAATGATGATTATTAATTGGATGAACTCAGTTGGAAAGTTTATAATGATAGTGCATTTTATTCCCTTGCAGCAGAGCTAATGCAAGATAATGAACAAAAAGTTCTTCATAATTTGGTTCAAACTATTTGAAATTTGGCGTGAAATTTTCCGATATTAATAATCCAATTAATTAAAATAAAAATATCCAAAATAATTTTAAGATTGATTTGCTCGGATTATGAAAGATTTATTACGAAACTCGGAATGAATAATTCAAAAAATCGCAACGTACCATAGAAAAATGTTCTACAATGTCCAATAATCAATGTTTCCAATCGTTTATTTGGCAATAATAATATTTCACCGAAATTGCATATTTCAAAAAAATCATCGATTTACTTAATCATTCCCAGCATAAAATCTAGCGTAAAAAATATCTTACCATAATTTATTGTGGGTTGTACACATGGTTTCCGTTCCATATCTCGTTTACAAAACTTTAAATTAAAAATTTTAAAATTTTTGAATTGTAAAATAAATGCGCCCCCCATAAAAAATTTAAAATTTTCGTGCTTATTATGCATATGTATACATATTTTAGCTATTCATCTTTTTTATAATAAAAATATTTTGAATATCCTGAAAATATATATGTATATTTTTATTTTTTGTTATTTTAATAAATTACCGGAAAATGTCAATTAGTTTCATTTGTGAAATAACATACATTCATAATCACATAACATGCATATTTTCATACATTTACAGAATGCTCCAAAACATCAATTTACGTAATTGTAAGCCAAGAAATGAATGACTTTTTTCCTCAAGTACTTTTGCACCTCATGCACACTAGATCAAAAGATCGAGCTTAAAATGCACGAAAAAAGTGGGGTTCTTCATATTATTCAAGCTTAATTCTGATCCGGAATCGTATTTCACTTTCTAGACACAAATTTGCACTTGAATAACATTTTTATTGTGTATCGATCTTTATCCTTTAAGTTTATGGTACACATTATTGCCACATACCCATCAAATCTAATCAAATTTTGTGTCCTCATATTAGAAGGGATTATAATTGTTCAGATATTTTACGAATGTTTCGAAAATTTTTCCAATATAATTTGTAATTTTTGGTAGATGTTGATTATTCCGATTTTTTTTTTAAAACTTTTAAATTTTGAAAGAATGTTCTGCTTATTTAAACTTGATTCGAGCTTTCTTACACCACGGTTTCCTTGGAACTCCCATCGTATTTATACCATATTTGTGTTCAATAACATATACCAACTTCTGGAATACCCTATGCTATACTACTTCATACATAACTTCAGATACAACCTGTTAATTCAAATGGACATTTAGGTTGGTAGAGAATTTGAAAATTATATTTTGTCGTACAAATGTGCAATATGTATATTATGTATGTATGTTGTAATTATGCTTTTAAAAGCTTTAAATTCAATAAATTTAATTGGAACTCATGAGTACATTTTGTATACTTTTTCAAAAAATTGAAAAAAGTTATTTTTGTAATGTTTTTGGCCAATTGAATAAATAAACAAGGATTTTTTTTTATTTTGAATCTTTTAATAAAAGAAAAACAAAAGTTTCTGTTATTTTGAGGTTTTTTTTTTGTAATTATTTTATTATTTCTATGATATTTTTAATTATCAAATATTAAAATTTTAATTTTTTGCAATATTTCAAAATTTACATTAGTAGTCCTATGAAATATGAATTTTATTTTTATACATAAATTTTGTTAATTTTATTTTATTTTTTTTTTCATTTTTGATTCATAAAATTAATTATTTTATTTTTTCATTTATACTTTTACTAATATTATAATTTTTTTTTGACAGAGACCCGAAGAAGCTTAGTTCATATTTTTATTAGCTACACTTTTTAATGCTTTAATTACAGAGGCATCAAAATATAATTTTAAATTAAGTGGTGTTATGAGCGAATATAAACTTAATTACAGGATCAATATATTGAACCGAATGTTCATACTAAAAAATTTATTGAAAAAACTTGAAATTGGAAGCGATCTATATCTTAGGTTTGCAGTGGCTACTTACAGAACTAAAGCTTATAATCTTAAGTCTTTTCGATATAGAAGCATTAAATTTTAATGTGCCTACGTTTCATTTAATAAAATCGATTATACTGAGGAGAAATCTTTTGATTAATATTGTCAGTGAAGCAAATTCAATAAATTAATTGTTCAATAAATTTTGTTTTTAAATAAAAGTTTTGTGTAACAATTTGAAATTTAAGAGTTTCTTTCAAACAACAAAATCACTTTAGTTAATCGAATTGACTCATAAACAATTGTTTGAATAATTCTTCTAAATTTTAAGGTTGACTATTAATAACAAAAAAGGGTTGCATTTTCTTGAATTCCGATACAATCTTCCGTTCTTTAGGTCTACTGTCAAGAAAAACACTGGTTTCTGTCATACATCAATCCATAACAAAAATATAATCTAATTTATTTCAAATTCACTCATTTTTTCCATTTTAGTACTGAGAATTTTTTATAATAATATAATTATATTTTAATTTTTTTATATATAAAATAATTTGATTCAATTTGTTCTTTAAAATCTACATAAATACATAGGTTTGTTTTTGTTATCGTTTAATTCTAATGACTTAAATTTTTTATAAGAGTTTTTTCATCCTTTTCAAAGAATTCAATTTTTCCTTCTAAATTAATTTCTTTTTTTAATTTTTAATTTATTTAACGAATAATTTTCCTGTTTTAATCTTCCATTTTTTTTCTTTTTGTAATTTATTTTGTTTTCTTTTTAAACTATTCTATAATAAATTTTTCTTAACGAATTTCATCTTAAAGATATCATATACATTTATATATTAAACATAAGTAGGTTTGTATAATCGTTATATAATAATGTTTATATTAAATTTTTTTTTTAATTTTTTAATAATTTTTATTTTGAATATTGAGCTACCTTGTTGATGAAGTTGTATGTAGTTGAAACGTACAATAATTATAATTCAGATGAACAAAGCTATTATGTAATTTTTTCGTAAATATTAAGAAGATACTATAAACCATTAATAATGTTATTAAATTCATTCCATTTCGTAACGTTGAAGTATCTCCGTTTGCTGCAGTAGGTTGAAGGAAAAACGATAAGAATTTGGTTACAAAAATTTCCCTCAATGACATACCTTGAACTGGATCTGCTCTTGAATTACTTGCATAAACAGTTTCTCTTGATTCAAGTGCTGGTGCTCTTTGTGGTCGATCACCTTCAACACTTTCTTCATTACTACGCCAATAAATTGATGACAGTCTGGCAACGCACTAGATATGTATAAAAACAATGAAAGAATAAAAATTATAACAAAAATAGTAAATAAAATTTTTAATGTAGAATGAAGGATTTCTGGTAGGTTTAAGTAAATTTTATAAATACTTTTATGTTTAAATTATAGTTTCTTCCGATTCTGGTGAAATAAAAAAACTCTAAAAATTTTATTTGTATTGAAATCATTTTGGTTAAAATGAATCTTAAGAAATAAGAAAGGAATATCGAATCTAGTATAATATTCTAAGTGCCAATTACGATTTACGGGGCGGATTTCCAACTTAAAATTACAAATGTTATTAGAAACATTCGAAACTGGGCAACTATTACGAATTTTATTGAACTGAACATTAGGAGAATTAGTATATAGTGAAAGATGCGGAGAAGAGTATGCTAACATCATCGCAAATCTACAGTAACATGTGAGCGTTTAACATCTAATAGTGGATTAGCAGCTGAAGAAGAGGAAGTTATTATAAATTTCATTACATTTGAATTATATATATGTATGGGAGGAATTGAACAAAAATCATTGCTCTAGCACATTTGCATTAAGCAAATTTATCGCATGTAGGCCAACTTAAATTCTCACAAATATTATGAAATCAATCTCACTTCATATAATTTTCAAATCCGTAGCATTATAATGCATTGTTGAAAATTTACAAAAAAAACTTAATAATTTGAATTGTGATCCTTTTTATTTAGATTATCTTAAACACGATTTAATACAGTTCAATATACGAAATGTCATTATACCTATATATGTACATATACTCGTATACATACTAAATGCATAAAATGCATTTGAAATGTTAAAAATTAATTAAAAACTTTAGAAAACCAGAAAGAAAATCTTAATTTGCTTTTTGAATTTTATTTATACTTTATTAAAATAGTAAATTTGCAAAGGTAATAACGGGACACAAATAACTTTAACCACAGCTCATTAGAAAATTTATAACAAAAGGTAAATATTTGACTAAGATAATTTAATAATATAACAGTATATAATATCCTTATATTATAGAGCATATTAAAGATAAAGATAAATCTAAATGAATAAATCAAAACTAATTTAATTGTTAAATTAATTTATAAATTATATACATACACAATATAACCTGACTATGTTTATACATACATATATTATTATTTTAGTATAACTGTACTTTTATTGCAAAAAAAAAATTCAGTCAATTAAGCTCATGGTTTGTAAAATAGTACATTTCCTTTCAACTAATAAAACGTTCGTTCTCCAACTTCTAATAAAACATTTCTCTAACCTTTCATCATGTCATGTTGCATATGTTATGGAAGAGTCTTAAAAAAGTTCTAAAAGATAGATTTAGATAGCTAATTAATTTAGTAAAAGCATACGTTTAATCCTAGAAAGTTTGACATTTTGCAGCACAGTTTGTGTAACAAGTGACAGGAGAGAATTTTTTTTCAAATTAAATTTGCATAATATGACTATTATATTAACAAATTTCCATATGAAACTAATAAAACAAACTAATGTAAGTCATATATGTACATATTCACCATTTCCAAAATATATTTAATGTGAAATTTATAAGTGTAGGTAAATGCATAAAGTTTGTTTATGAAAACAAATAATAAATATATTTTGTTTATTTATTTAAATAAGTACTTATACATTATAAGCATAATTATTGTACATATGCACACACATACATTTCTAATGAATCTCTTTAATTATTGTAAGTCTTTACATGTTATCGTCTTATATCCTTAATGTAGGTTCAAATATACTATATAGCTTATATGTATATACAGCTTATAGATTATATTGTGCATGTAGTACTGACGCAATTAAAGTAGTAAGGTTTATAACATTCTTCCATGTTTTAATTAAATCGAATTAATGATAAAAGTAACTTTAAAAAAATATTCATAAATAAATCTATTTTTTAAATACATACATATGTACTTTAAACAAAGATAATAATGAAAAGATGGAGATATCTGGGGCCTGTTGCACCGAGTAGATTTACTTTTAGTTTTGGTTCTACTTTTCAATTTTTAAAAAAATGTACTTTTTCTATTAGTGTAGTTCGTTAGTGTCCTGGCTCAATTGATATTTGACAAATTTTTTGATTTATTGATTTTAAAAGTGTAAAAAGTATAGGGCCTTGTTTTTAAATTTGCAATCATTCAACAATTAATTTGAATTAATACAAAATTTTTGTAATTTTTAAGTTGAAGTTTTTGCAAGGAAATTCAAGAGACACAATTATTGTTATAAGCAATACAGTATTTTTATGATTTTAGGCACTTTTAAAAAAATATTTTGAAAAAAATGGTTGTTAGTTTCATCCTGTCCGTCCGTAGACATGTTTGAAATAACTCCTGGCCATTCATATCTCAGTATATTTTGAAAGCTCTCTATAACGTCATGGTACATAGTATATTTCCTGGAACACTAATAGAAACATAGCGTTTATAGGGCACACTTGCGCTCGCTAGGAATCTGTTTGTCATTAAAAAGGCTATTCAAATACTAGACAAAAGCGCACTGGATGAACAAAGTTTAGTTATCAAATTTTTTGCTTTCTGATTATGATGTGTGATTGAATGACATGCATATATAGATATTATGAATCTGAATGAGAATACTGAAAATCCTTTGAAATCTTCTTACGAGTGTGATCTGTTTGTATATTACTTTATGAGCTTTTCGTATAGGTTATCTCTGGCTGACTTTTGTACATAAATAAAATTTACAACTATCGGATATACGTGTAGAACTTAAGTTTATTATATAAATCGTGCATTTAATCTCTGAAGTACATCAAATGTACATGATTACAAAACAACTCTTTTCGAACAGTGTCGAATTATTTATATATGAACTGTTATACATACAAAAATACTCAATCAAATCATAATAATAATAAAATCACATAATAATCTTCATAGGAGATGAATCCTTATATTCAAAAAATTTTCTAAATTGAAAACTAATAATGAAATAGATTTTTTTTTTCTGTTAATTTTCCATTTACCTTCAATTTCATATCACCATTCCGGAAATGATGTTGTTCAACTCTAAATTGCAAACCTAATGTTGAAGTTTCTAATCCTTCACGTCCTGTTATTGTTGTTTCATATGGTCTTAACATTTGTGATTCAGCATTTTCACCATTAATAAACCAATTGAGTGTTGTTGCAGGTTTAGAACGTCCGGATGTACAATTGACGCGAACATAATCACCAATTTGATAACGTGCACGTCCACCTGTAATAATAGGTCCTTTGTCCGGAAGTGCTGTAAATATAAAAGGAAAAAATAAAAACATACACATTTTTTTAATAAAACTTGAACTCATGTAAACATACATATATTATAATATATCAGATCATTAATGGTAAACTATTTTAAAAGAAAGTAAAAAACACTCTTAAAGGATATTGACTGTTGATGCAAATAAGCATTTGTATTTGGAAATTAATTCTTATTGATTTTTTTTAAATAGTTACTTAGATAACAGTAAGTTTCTAATTAAGCAGCTTATATCTGATACTATAGTTTAGAACGAGAAAAAATAGAGTTGACAATCAATCAATATGATTGATTGAACATGTTAACCTTTTTATCTTGACCTTTCAGTCATTATTTTCTAATATCGAAAACAATTGTTCCCACAAATATGTGCTTCCGAACATGGTTAAAACACGCTTAATTGATTTATCGGTGAATAATTATAAAATTTAGTAATTCTTACTATTGTTTTAATACAGAATCGCACAGCATTTCGATTTCAATTGTAAATTTGCATCAAGTGTTTCAATATCAACAGAAAATGGAAAAGTATATATGTTAAAGTCTTTTTGACATCTATTAAAATCTAGAAAATCTTTATTGTCTACTATTTATAAATATATAAGATTTATAGAATAGTCGCTTTCACTTCTCGAAACAAACTAACGTGAAAATTCGATCGCGGTTACATTTTACAGTTGTGTATTTTTCGCATATACATAAGTTTTGACTTCGGATGTGTGACAAACGCCCGCAGAACTTCACTCTGGTTTCAACACTTTCTTATTCTGATTTAAATCAATATTTGTAACAAAATTGTAAGAATTAAATTTCAATTTTCGCAAATCGTAGGATGAAGAGCTGCGGCCGCATGTTTGGCATGCCTGGTTTATATCAATAAAAATCTGTTTAAATCTGGAGAAAAATTTTTACTAAAATAAGTTGAACAATATACAAAGAAATATTCACTTTTATGGGATTGCAAATTCTCAGAGACCTTAAAATTGATTTTCATTATATGCAAGTATAAAGCCTCGATAACTTTTACATTACTCGATATTTTTATTTTTACAAACAAAAGGCGAACTAATTTTGTTTGAAAGAGAGAATTGCTTTAATATTACAACTTACATTTAAAACGAGTCCGTAAAGTACATTTAATATTTTTAACAATATTATTGTGTCCATATACACTTTCACAACAATAGTTAAGTATATGTACATAATAATGTAAAACACAAAAATTATACTTTGTAATCATCGATTGCATAAAATTATTATTAATAGAAAAATCAATTTTGATGCGGTGGTCTCATTTAAAGAATGACAAAAGGGCGAGCAAAACAAAAAAAAAGTTTTTAATTTTTTTTTTATTTTTCTTGTATATACAGAAAGATCCTTAAATTAAAAATAATTTTCCTTTCTCTGTTTTCTTCATCTACTCTTTCATTATTATGAAAAAAACAAAATGAGTAATAATCAGCCATGACATAAAAAAATTTCAGAAAAAAAGGATCTGTTTCACTTTTTCTGTTCTGCTTTTTGTCTCTTATTTTTTTTTTTGTATTATTACTATAAGTAAAATTTTTACCAATCATTTTATTTTAATTTATCTGTTCAAAAGAACATTAAAAGTATGAATCTAGCTACAATGTATTTTTAAAAACAGGTACCCAAAGAGAAACAAATATTGTAAAACTCAAAAAACAAAAAATACGAGTAAAAATGGCAAAAAAGGACGAAGGAAAAAGGATAAAATAATATTCACAGATTGATGATATTGTGATCTTCTAGATACTTTGACTTCTTAAAGCAAAAGAGAAAATTTAATAAGAAAAAAAAAATATTATTTTTTTTTTTAAATCAGAAAATTGGGAAAATTAAAAAGTAACGAAAATGTATGTGTTTATTTGTAAAAATGAATGTAAATATGGCCATGTTAAATATGTACGGTCTACTTTTATATCGTAAATTTGAAATTCAATTTAGTTTTTTGTTATTCCTCGATAATATTCAAATTAGTTTCTTTGCCAACTTTTTTTTTCCCTCTTAATATTAATTTGCATTTTAACGGAATATTTTAAAAAGTATATACATACATAATGTATGTATGAAATACGCAAAATTTAAATACCGGCTAGATCGCACAGCTTTGAAGTAATACATTAATAATAATTAATACTTCTTATTATTTTTATGTTAATAAAATAATAATGTGCCAAAGAATATGCAAAATCTTAGTGGAAAAGTAGGTATGTGTGTGTAAAATTTCGGCCCATATTTGTGTATAAAATTTCGAGATTAAACTTAGAAAGTTATTCGTTGAATCAATCGTTGAAATTATATATTATGTAAGTAGTTATTTCCGTACGTACAAACTGGATTGAACTGGACATAATTAAATATTTTGAAATTTTTTGGCTCCTTATGGTGGCTGCCATACAACTTCAAAAACACAATTTGGTCACATCTTAGAAACTACTTAAGGTACAGTATTGAAATTTTGTACAAACAAATATGGTAACATGGCCATTTTTTTTGGTAAAAGCTGTTAGATCATGAGCTGCCATTCAACTTCTAAAATCATTTGGTCGCATATAATTGAAACTATACTAAAACTTAAGTGCTGAAATTTTACATAAACGATATAGTAATTAAAATATAACTCTTAGAATTATTCATTCGTACGGGTATCACAAATTTACCACGATTAAGTTCACCTATTCTCGTTTTACTTTAAAATCTTCCATTAGTTTTAAATACTTTTTATCGATTCGCTAATGAAATTCGTTTTTGTACGATTGACTTAAATTGAGTTTCGGATATATGCTAATTGAACTAAATAAAATAATATAGATATGTGCATGTCATACCTTATAATTTGTATACAACATATTTATTTTTATATGAATTACGTTCAGAGTCTCTACACTTTATATTTTTTCCATTCTTCATTATGCTTTTAAATGTTATTGAAAAACAATTCCCAAATTGGAAATAAAAAATTTTATTTCATACAGCTACTTTCTCAATTTATGAATATAAAATTTCATTATGTTTGGCTTTTCGTCTAGTTTCGAGTATTCAATAATCTGTCAAATTTTAAAAGAAAGTCTCATGTGGGCAATTAAAAATTGCAATTTCAAAAAATGTGAAAGAAAAAAGAACTTATTTGCAATGAGTGCCAAAATATCATATTTTTTATTTTTCAAAATTTGGGTTTCATTTAACAAGGGCAACTTAACTGAAAAAAAAAATTTTTTTTGTTGATTTTTACTTGCCCATGAAAAATTCTATATAATTTATTTATTTAAGTTTAATTAAATTTCTATTGAAATTTTTATTTAACACACATTTAAAAAGAATATTGTAATTAACACTTAAACATTTTCTACATGTCCCAATAATTATGAATTTTTCAAGCAAATATTTTAAATAAGATTACAAGGTAATAATGCTTTTTACCGATCGCATTGCATAGAAAAAGGGAGGCTATGCGATGGCAACAAATTTCGCATATCGAGTTTTCGTTGCAAATGTACTTAAATTATTAAATTTTTAGCAAAATGTTGGTCTGTAAGGTCCGTCGGTCCATCTACCTGTGTGTGTACACGTGTATCTCTAGTTCGACAGAACCGATTTTAATGAAATTTTCTATTGAGTTTGTTTTGGCTATATCACGGATTGATCAATCAGCCGGGGAAATTGGAATTATTTCGGGGGCAGATTTCACATTTTTGGGTATATAAACAGAAATAATCAACCAAATTTTCTTCAAATTTAATATTTAAACACGAAGTGTTAAAATAATGAACCTATAAAATTTTTGGAAACGTGAAGGTCCGGAAAGTGAAGTAGGAGTCGATTTTAAGTTTTTTACCATATCTAAGGAACTATTTGATGGGATTACTTTAAAATTAATATTTAAGTTCTAGTTGTTACCAAAACTACCTACTAATACTGGCGAACTTTTTAGGGAATTCGGATGGTATAACTCTACTAGAAGCCAACTTTAAATTTTTCTAGTTATGTTAACTAAAAGCTGACTATCGCCATAAAAATTGGAAAGAAGTATTTAAAAGGCATTTTCATAATCGTCTGTAATACTTTCTCTTACCTGGACATTACACATTGCAGTCGGTTCTGTGCTGATCGCATCAGATTTACTCGAAATAATTATTTATGGATAATTTAAAATATAATCATTAATATTGTTGGTAGAAAACGTTTATTAAAGTAGTGTCGTGTCATTACTTACAATGCATTTGTAAACTGATAAATTTTCTCTATTCTTATAGAATTATTTTTAATACAAATTTTGCAACTGAAGTTTAAAATAAGATGTCTGAAATTTAATAAGTATAAAGTAATTACAATGTCTAATTGGAAAGCTGCTATAATTAACAATCAAAAATTATTGTGGAAAATCCCTGTTAATACTAATAATATTAAAAATATGATCAGCTCTGGGTAACAACCACATATTATACCTATTTATTGACGGTTCGTTTTTATGAATTTCAAAAGTCAATTTTCATTGCGATAAAATTTTAAATGATAATTTTATTTTATTGGCAATTCTACATCAATATTTTGATTTTACTCTTTTTTTTTCTTCTTATTTGACAAATGAAAATTCTTAATGAAAAGTAAAAGCAGAACAAGAAAAAGAAGCAGTAAAACTAAAAAAAAAAATTCGAGAAAAAGGAGAATGAAAAGAGAAAAATCATTTTTCCGCCAAAACTAAAAGAAAATAAAAAGGAGAATAAAACCCTCGTCATTACAAATTTTATTTGAATGCCTGTCATCCTCGTTTATGTTTGAAAAATTTTTACATTTTCACCATACATGAATACATAGAACATAGTGGTATCGTATACAGATTACAACAATGCATTGTAATTTTTGTTTGGATTTTAATGGAAAATGAAAACTGATTAAGTTAAACATAACGGATTCTTCCCCCTGTTTTTCTTTTCTTTCTTTTTATGGTTTCGTTTTTGCAA